AGAGAGAGAGAGAGAGAGAGAGAGAGAGAGAGAGAGAGAGAGAGAGAGAGAGAGAGAGAGAACAGAATATAAATAAAAGCAAGACTTCCATGAAGTATAGGGCTAAGTCTTTATAACATCTGTATACTTTGTATGCTGTCCAGCAAGTCATAGTACTCAGTATTTCTCACATGCCAATATATAAATGATTAGATGAATAATTAGATGAGCAGAAATATACATATGGGTTCTCTACACATTTATGTTCTGTGCTGTTCTCTAATGAATACAAGAAAGGGTAATCTAACTCAAAAAGTACTTTTATGTATTCTCAAGACTTTCTATGAGTCTGCCCTGTCTCTGTAATCCATTCCATGAGACTCAATCAATGCCTTTTCATGAATTCCTGAATCACTCATGGTACCTGGTATGGATAACCAAATCAAAATGAAAAGCATAATATACAAATGTGCTTAATTCTCTTCCTCCCTAGGGATCTAGTTTTATAACTGCTTTGATAAATCCACTTTGAAAATTTCAGTCCCAGTGGACCTTTATAGAACAGGATAGAAATTGAGATTGTTTTGTACTCTTACTATCCACAGACTGAGTTTATCAATAAATGCCCCCAAGCATGTGAAACCAATGGTCAGTGCTTAAGGACCAAGGAGACACAGAGGCAGGGACTATGACCACAAGGTTGTCCCCTTCAAGAAAGAATAATGAGATGAAATAAAAATGCCTCAACACACTGCTGGACAGAGTTTATGTCAGTGCTTATGGCAAAAATAAATAAAAAGAGTTCTCAATTGAGTAGTATGAAATAAGGCTGTCCAGTTCAACTTTAATGGTATAAATTTAACACTAAAACTGCACTTTTATTTATAATGGCGAACCACACACATCCGCCGTGCTACTAAAATAAGAACCACTGCATTGCACAGCCTGTACAGGAATAAGATGCCAGGTGTCTAACACTGTCCACTTACCCACCCACCCCGAGGAGCCTTCTGCGAGGGAAGTTAAAAGACACAATGAAGTAACACTTAGAGCATGTAAAACACCGTCCTGCAGTATAACTTAAAATGATTCGACATGTGAATAAAACAAATATGTTATAGTGAATGAATGACATCTCAAGGTGTGTGTGTGTGTGTGTGTGTGTGTGTGTGTGTGTGTGTGTGTGTGTGTGGTGAGTATGAAAAGCAGAAGCCAACTGGGGTGTCATTCCTCTGTAGCTCCCCACCTTTGTTTTTAAAACAGGGTCTCACAGTGGCCTGGAATTTGCTCATCAGGCTGTACGCGCTGGCCAATGAACCCCAGTGCTGCCTGTCTCCACTTGCACAGGGCAGGCATTACAAATGCCTGATGCCATACCTGCATTTTCTATGTGGGTTCTGGGATCAAATCCATGTCCTCATACTTTTGTGGCAAGCACTTTACTGAATATTTCCTCAGCCCTCAATTTTTACGGATACTGAATAAATCAAATTTTTTATTTAATAAATTTTAAGAATATCTATTTTCATCAAATAACCAAAGGGGGGGGAAACATTTTCTTAAGTAAAATTTGAGATTAAAGCAGTGTTGGTCATGGCAATGGAAACTCCTGAGGGGGTGTCTAGAAGATATCCACTCATGAGCAGGGTACATCAAAACTTAAGAAATGTACAGTGTAAACACCCGCAAACTGCTTCAGGAATGTCCTGAATCTCCTCCCATCATGTGCAACTGTTGTTTGTGAAGCTGTGAGTGTTTCGCTGTTCCAGATGGAGGAGGGATGCACAAGTTTCTCGCACACTCACTTGTCAGCTCCTCGGAGCTCTGATTGCACTTGCACAAGTAGTCATCACTATACTGAGTGTGTTTCTTCCTAGAAAATATGAGTAATTGACAAGCCAAGGAAACATAATTTACTATGAAAGAAAAACAAAGACAAAAAGGACAACCAGGATTTGTATTCATTGCAGTGAGAGAGGAAACTCCCCAAGGCCTCTCTACATTCCCAGCACACGCGAGGTCTTCATTCAATGCCTGTATCTGTTGCATGGATGGATAAGACGTCTTTATCAGCAATGTTCTACTAAGCACTATGCCCTCCAGGAAAGGAGCCTTTGAAGAAGACAGTGAATACAAAGTGCTGAGCAGACCATTGCATGGATTAAAGATGTGTAGAATGGTCAAGAGCAAGAATTGAAAGGCCAAACTGCCACTCTCTGTAGAAGGATGCACGTATTAAATGCGTGTACACACACACACACACAAATACATATATACATATATAACCAAAACACGTTGTGAACCTCAGCACGTTAGCAAGATGGTGATAATTCACTACTTTACACAAAGCCTTGTGAAATATTTTAAGCAAATCTCTAGATAACAAAAATCTAATGTTCACACCAAAGTAACAAATAATAAATGCTAAAAGTATATTTTTTAAAAATCCAGTATTCACTACAATGGTGTTATATAGGCAGGAAATCCAGGCACCTTCTCCTCAAACACACGCAAGCTCTTCTGAGTGAAGCTGAGGGCTTGCCATGGCTTTTGATTTTTTTTCTCCACCATCTTTGTACAAAATCCCCTTTCTGCCTTTTTCACCTCATGAAATCTCTGTGTTCAGAAGTAGACATCCATCATGAGAAGCATACATGTTTTCCATGTGTCCAGTTAGCCTCCATCACCATGGTTCTCAACCTGTGGTTCATGACCCCTTTACGACTATCAGAAATATCAAATATCTATGTTACATCCATAACCAGAGCAAAATTACAGTTATGAAGTAGCAACGAAAATAATCTTGTGGTTGGGGGGTCACCACACCATGAGGAACTGTGTTAAAGAGTCACAGCATCGGTTGAGAACCACTGCTCCATTGTAGGAGGCTTGCATGCCTTCACTTGGGCAGCCTCACTCCAGACCTCATTGAGAAATGGCCTCCTCTGATTGGATGTGGTGAACAGTTTTAGGCCCATTCTCTTAAGTTCTTGATGAAACATTGACGGTACATTAGACCAGGCATTACTTTCATTAATGTTGCGATACGATGGAATGATTGATTATAGTAGATGAAGTGGGGTAAACTAACAAAAAGGACAGTGTTTTGGAACACAGCCATACCCGAGTGCCCTCTCACCCAGCCAGTCCAGAATCCTGGCTCCTACCTTCCAACAAAGCCACCACCTACCTGTCAAGTAGGAGAACTTTGGCTGTCTCTGTCCTGTGAGCCTTTGTCCTTGAAGCCTTCTTGACATTGGTATTTTCTTTTGAGCTTTTGCAATAGGGATTTGTCCCCCACTGGGCTAGACATTGTGAGTGTTTTCTTACTTATTCCTCATAGCAGCCCGGGGATGGCCCCATTCTACAGAGAGGAATGATATAGTTCAACTGCAAAGCTGTCCAAAGACCCAAAGTTAATAAAAGGCAAAACAAGGATTCCCAGCATATTCCGTCAGCCTGAGTGCTGGCTTTCCTGTCCCCGTACCGCTCAGCCCGTCACCGTCTGATTGATGAGCCTTCCTAGAGCCTAAATCGGAAAAGCAAAAGGCAGCATTCTATGCGTGTGGTTAATTTCTTGGCCTTCTTTCTGTACGTGACTGGATTCATTACAGAAACAAAGGCTTAGTTTTCTTTTTCCTTTTTATAAAAATCACAAAGCGGGGGCTGTATGACAGGTACAACAAATTTTCATCTTTTCTATAAAAATAAGTGTCTCCCAGCGAGGGTGATCAATGATTGTAACACTTCTAAGATTAAACAATGGTGGGCGAGCACATGCTACCTTGACATGAGAAAAATGGGAGATTTTTCCAGTGGCAAAATCATCTATGAAGATCAAGAAAAGGAAAATGAATGATAGCAATGGACTCAGACAGGGAACCTCGGTGCATTTTATATTCCCAAAAGGACCAAGAATTGGTGGCATTCAGAACTTGGGGTGTGTAGGAATAATGGTATAGCCCAGCCAGTAGGATTAGTTGAACGCTAAGAATCAATACGTTAGTCTCTGGGATAGCTTCTCCCACTAGGTGTAACCAAGTGTCTCTCCCAGAAGCTTTGGGATTTATATCTTCAAAAGCATGAACTAGAGACCTCCATAGAATAGAGGAATGCAACTAAATTCTGCAGAAGAGGAAAGAAACGGGATGCTCTGTGACTTGATTCTGGACGCTGTTGACACGGTCCATGCTAAAGTGAGTAGTAAATCCTGACCATGCAAAGATGATTTGTAATAAACCATGTTGGAAGAATGAAGGGGCAAGAAAGAGCCATGAACGTGGTGATGATCTGAGAAAGAAGGGAGCAAACCCGTGTGCTTCATAACACAGAGAATGACTAAGAAGACTATAGCAACAGTGGAGAGGGTGCCTGAACTGGCCTTCCCCTGGATTCAGATTGGTGACTACCCTGTCATCATAGAGCCTTTATCCAGTAACTGATGGAAACAGACACAGAGATCCACAGCCAACCGCCAGACCGAGCTCCGGGAGTCCAGTTGAAGAGAGGGAAGAGGGATTCTCTGAGCAAGGGTGGTCGACATCATAATGGGGAAATCTACAGAGATTTCCAAGCTCATAGGAACTCACGAACTCTACACTGACAGCTTTGGAACCTGCATGGGACCGGACTAGACCCTCTGCATATGGAAGACAGTTGTGTAGCTGGGTCTGTTTGTGGGGCCCCTGGCAGTGGAAACCAGGATCTATCCCTGGTGCATCAGCCAGCTTTTTGGGAGCCCATTCCCTATGGTGGGACACCTTGCTCACCCTTGATGCAGGGGGAAGGGGCTTGGTCCTGCCTCAACTGATTGTACCAGGCTTTGTTGACTCCCCATGGGAGGCCTTACCCTTTTGGAGGAGTGGATGAGAGGGAAAAGCAGGGAGAAGGAAGAGGAATGGAAGGGGAAACTGGTTGGTATGTAAAATGAAAAAAATTAATAAATAATTTTTTTAAAGATTGAAAATTAAACTAGTAACATTATATGCCATGTCACAAGTGGAATCAACCAAAGAAGCTGAAAGTATGTCTTCTCAAACTAATGTGGAGATATGTCCCCAATAAATGGGTTATAAACCATTACATGTAACATAGCAATACAGTACACAGTAATTGGGTTGTTTATTTGTGAACTCATGGCCAATGGGAAGCAATGGCTTGCTGCCCTTGAACAGTATCAAAAGAGACCTCTATGCCTCGTGTTGCTGGCCTCTCACATCAAAATTCAAGGATATGGCGTCTCCTGAAAGAAATTGCTCTCATCCCATCAAATCTCAAAATCATAAATGAATCACCTTAAAGGCAGGAATCATCTGCATTTGCATCTAGGGAAACTGGAAGTTGAAAACTTGCTTTGCACGATTTCCAACTAAATCGTGTGGGCTTGTATTTTTGACACAAATAAAAAGTAGGAGCTGTCAAGATGGCTTAGTTGGTAAATGCTTTAACAGTTTAGTTTATTTCAAGCATGAGGACCTGAGCTGCATACTCTGAATCTGTGTAGAGATGCTAGGTGTGGTAGCATGCACTTATATCCCAGCACTGGAGAGATGGAGATGGAGAGGTCCCTGGAGTTTGTTGGCTAGCCAGTCTATATTATGAGAAATCCATAAGTCTGCTTAAAGGGTGAAGGAATTTATTAAGAAGGAAAAGTCATTACAGCACAGGAGATTTATCGTAGGGTCCTGGAAGGCTGAAATACAGTCCCACGCTGTTCTTCTGCCTGGTCCGTCTCAGCATCGAAGCCCATGAAGGAGAGAAGAGAGTGGCGTACATGCATCTTAGGTCTTAAGGGTAGCCCTGAGCCATGCCCCAGGGGCAGATACATCAAGGTCATAGGTAGATAGGAGGGTTACCTGCTACATCTCTAGGGTTGGTGCTTCAAGGTCATAGACAGAACCGCTATCCACTACAAGTCTATTTTAATTGGTTAGCACCATGTCAGAATGAAACCCTGTTTCAAAGCAGGTGCATGGCATAACTCATGGTGATACCTGAGTTTGTTCTCTGGCCTTCACATAGACACAGGCACATACAAGTACAACACACACACACACACACTGAAAAACTGTATACGTACATTCTGAAAAGCATTATAAGAAGTTTCTCTTTGAGGTTTAAGAACACGGACCTATGAGCAATGTGAAAAATATCAACTTTGTAATGCAACATAAATAGATGATTCTGATGATGAGTTCTGAGCAAGCTTGTGGATGACTCATGTGTCACTGCTTGGGTGCATTAACAGTGACATTAGAGACAAGTGGAGTTGGAATTAAAGTCATTTCATTAAGTGTAAGTTGGAAAAAGGCCCTACTACGTTTAACCTTCACTGTGGACGCCCACAAGTTCACAGTGTTGGCCCCTTGTCCCCCGTTCAGTTCTGTTTAATTGGCCAATGACGCTGAGACTTCAAGGAATCCCAGTTGTTTGTCTTTGGCTTTCACACCATAATCTTTGCTTGTTCTTCCTTTGTGAGTCACTCTCTTGACCCATTTATGGTAGACCACCACCTCCGCCCGTCCTCCGGAACACGGGTATGGCTTCTCCAGTGGAAGTAACATCTCATAATAGAGAAAACGATTTCATTTCTCGTGACTTCATGAGATCTAACATGGACCGCCTCTCCTTTTTAAACCAATTTCTCTGGGATTTCACAGCCAGAGCCCTGTGCAGAGATGCCTACCTCATGCTTGGTGCTCTGGAAATATGTGCTAACTTACTATGTAACTTACTAGTGCCTGGTTTTATGGAAAATTCCAACCAAATCCAAAGCGTTGAGTGGGTGTGTGTTACTCCTTGAAGGATCACAAGTCTGAGCAAGAGCAGATGGATTAAAAACAGTGATAAATGAAAGACTGAGGGATCCACTTATAGATTGGAGTGGGGAAATGAGTTCAATGGGGCTGGATAGTAATAATAGTAAACAGTAAACAATGCAGACGGAGCGCATCTTGTGTGCACTTGTCTAATCACTCTGCCTTTCATGACTCACATCATCCTCTCAACAGAAACTCTCGGGTAAAGACAGTGAATATTCATCATATGCTGCACAGATGAGGACCTGAGTCATCTATGGACTTTGTCCTCAAGTAATCAGACCAGAAGTAACAGAGCTAGGACTTCAGCCCCAACCATTATGACCACCAAATGCCATTTATTAATCACTACACTACACTGGCCTGCTTTTCCATGACCAAAGCTACATATCTATATAAAATCTATTCACATTTAATAATAGTGACCTGCTTGGTAAGTTTAGAGCACTATGCACCTAGCAACATATGCTTAATTTGTTATTTTCTAGGCAGAGAAGAATTTAGCATTGTGGTAGGGTGTTAACAACAGCTACTAATCGTTCAAGGATTCATTGCAACATCTGTGTGCCTGGTAGTGACAGAGATAGAGCACATATAGGTCTGCACACACTTCTGTGTTCAATATCTTCACCCTAGTAGACATCCACCAAGAATGTTTGATGTCTCAAATATGGAAGTAGTTAAAAGAGAAAAGGGAGAATCTAGAAAGATGAGGATGGCCACCATGTGCATGTAGGTGTGTAGAGCATAAAATTGTATAGGATTGTCCTCTACATCATAATACTATTTTCCTCTCTTTCAAAGAAGGGTGAGTTTGACATATCTTCTTGTTCTTACTATTCCTGGTTTTCCATTTCAGTAGAATGTGGGCCTTTTTTAATTTAAAAGAAACACTCGCATGTTATATGATGGTTATTATAGGTTGGTGAGATACTATGCAAATTCATTGACAGACAAAAAAATAATGCTTGCGTGTAATAAAGGTTTATGTATTTGTGCATTTGTGTGCATGCCCAATGCCCAGAATTGTTTCTATTTTAGAATATGACATGAGTAAAATTGGGAGGTGTTTGTGTCTATGGGCAAGCCATACCAAATCATTGAGTGAAGATTTAAATAATGAGTCAATTGTAGTGAGTATACCGTTCTGCACACTTTGCTGGCAGCTAAGGTTAGTGATTAGTGAAATCTCATTAACATTTACTCAGGACTAATTGCAATAGAGGGTGAGGTTTTGGGAATGTTGGTTTTCCTTTAAATATGATGTTGAGCTGTTAAACCATCTGTTCTTATGCACAAACATTTTTCTGGGATTCAGAAGGGATTATGGGATATGATATGGTTCTGTGATTATTATGGGATGATCAGCCTGTTTATAATGAAATCTTACTTTGGGGGCCTCTTAATATTCTCTAAAAGGAAACCATCACAGGCTTCAGGTTGGCAAAGCATGTTCTCTCAGAGGCCACTTGGTTTTTTGTTGTTGTTGTTGTTGTTGTTGTTGTTTTTGTTTTCCCAAATGTTGATATCCTAAATGAAATCTAAACTTTAAAAAGATGGTTTCTTTGTGCTTCTCTGGGCTATAACTCATATCCAGAGTTAATTCCAAGGAAGTCCCTTTCCAAATGTTTTTTTTTTTTTTATTCTTATCAAATGGAAGTCCTACCCCAACTAAGTTTAAAGGCTCCAAATATTTGACCACTCAGATTGATAATAATTTTATGTGCAGTTTAATAAGGGCTATATGTATGCTTAGAATATATATACACATGTATGTATTTAGTTGACTAATAAAATATTTGCTATTGTAACAAAATAAGCAGTCACATCCCAAAGCACTCTAGAGCTTTCTAGGTAAGAATGTGTGGGCAGAACATAAAGATTTGTGTAGTCGACCCACCAGAAAATTTCCTTCTAGACGACATGACTATTAAAGCAGTGATTACTGCTCTATGTTCCTCCCAGTGCCCTTGAGTAACATGGTGAGCACCCGTCGACAGAGCGGCGCCTCCTCTCTAGAGAGGGGTGGAGGAAGGGGTAGGAGACAGGCTCGCACTCAGTATCACCAAAGTGAGCTATTCTAAATTGATTCCATTCTTCTCCTGTTGAGGAGCCAGCCTTTCAGGTCACTGACCTAACCCTGATGATCAGCTCTTCAACTGCTTTCTCCCATTACAAATTGAAATGACCATCTTGCTTGTCAGCAGATAAATACTTTTACATGAATGTTTTTGTAGATGTAATATGCATGCTTTCCAATCATTTGTTGGTTGCCTTTTATTTACATATAAACTCTGTTGAAAGTTACTATCAGGCTGGAGGGAACATACAGTCTTGGATGAGTCCTGGTTATAAAGATGTGATATCTCGTTCTGTCTTCATTGTTACAGCACCATCCAGTAGAAAACCTGGGGACCCTCTTGTCATTTCAGATATCAAGAAGGGCAGTGTGGCACACAGGTAAGGAGCGTGCGTTTTCTCACTTGCCTGTTTCCTCCTGTGAGTGTATTTCTGTACTCTAGAGCTGAAAGTGATTTTTAGGGTCTTTTATGAGTTTAGCATGAGCATTTTCTTCAGGTTCATCTTCCATGTTTCATTTTCTAGTGAAGCCCCCAAAGTTATTTCAGTTCTGGGAAGTACCTCACCTAGAAATTATAGCTTAAGGGATGGCTTTGCTAGGTGCTGTCATGTCCCCTTGGGGCAAGTAAGACTTTTGATTCTCCATTAATGTTTATAATTGTTCTAATTCCCCTTCTGTTGATGTCATTTAAAAAAAAAAAAAAACAGGCTGGAGAGATGGCTCAGAGGTTAAGAGCACTGCTCGCTCTTCCAAAGGTCCTGAGTTCAATTCCCAGCAACCACATGGTGGCTCACAACCATCTGTAATGAGATCTGGTGCCCTCTTCTGGCATGTGGGGATATGTACAAACAGAAAAATGTATATATAATAAATAAATAAATCTTTAAAAAAAAACAGCTGACTAAGAGCGACTTCGGAGAGGAAAGGATTTGATTGGTTATAGTTCGAGATCACAGTACCTTATGGAGAGGAGTCGGGTCTCAAGTGAGAACTTGAAAGTGTACCTCCTACCTTACATGCAGCTTTACTTCTGACCAGAGAATTCACAGTTAAGGAGGCACAGCAGAAACTGTGGAGGAGTACTGCTTGCTGGCTTACTCATGGGCTCATGATTAGCTAGGTTTTTATTCAGTCCAAAACCACCTGCCTAGGGGATGGTGTTCCTCCTAGTCGGCTGGATCCGCCTAATCCACTTAACCACCAAGAGAATCCATCACAGACATATCCGCAGGCCAGGGTGATCTGGGCAGTCTCTTGATTGTCACTCCTTTCTCAGATGACTCTAGGCTGTATCAAAATGTCAATTAAAGCTAAACTAGAACGGTCTCCTCCCTGGTCTCTATACATCTAAATATGATGGTCTCGTGCTTTCCATTTCACAGGTAAAAGTACATTTTAAGTAATCGAGCATACCAATGTAATATTAACTTTCCTCTTATTTTTTTTTTAAATGAAGACATTTAACAACCCAACCTTTCATCATAATTGTATTGTTAAAGAAATAGGGTTATCACCAAAAAGTGTGGGGGACAGCCAGGCAGTGGTGGCACATGCCTTTAATCCCAGCACTCGGGAGGCAGAG